TTATACAGTGCGGGACAGCCAAATGGAATAAATTCGGTAATAAATAAAGTGGGAGTGTTCGGAAAAACGCTCGGACATGTCGATTGGTATTTTTAGTTGCGCATTTTTTTTAACAACTTTTCATCATGATTTACATTATTACTTATAGACAGCTGACTTTTCTTCATGTTTTGAAATTATTTTTAGGTTATGTACAAAGCTTGACATTGATTTTAATGTAAAAAATATTATATGAAACTTTACCTACCGTTTTTGGTTTTTATTGTAAATTTAATCATTTTCACAATTTGTCACACATGTTAAATAAAATAATATATTTTTTAAATACCTTTTATTGGCAAATAAACCAAGTGAACTAAAATGTTTATTTTATAAGATCAGTCACATCAGAATACAACATTACCCAGATACAAACTAGAATGAAAATATATAATGCATGGCATTCTAAATTATACTAATCACAGTTTAACAAACTCCCCTTATTGAGCTTGATTTTTTCCAAAAATTTCAAGTTGATATTATTGTTCGTTTTTCATTTCAACCTTCCTTAATCTCCCCACTTTTATTCAAATTGTTTTCACAATCAATAGGCCTCATCTTCTTAGAGAGCTTGGTTTTTACTAAAAATTTCATGTTGATTTCGCTTTTCATTTTTGATTTGATTTGTTTCTTTTTTTTAATTTTAACACCACTTAAACCCCCATTTTTAATTTTTTTACAAAATCAAAGGGATTCTTCTCCTTATAGGGCTTGTTTTTTACTTAAAACTTTCAAGTTGATATCATTTTTCGTGCAGACAAAAAACGTGACGGACAAAGTAAACCTATAATACTCTTTTTCTACACCCGTATTATAATAATACACTTATATATACTCATAATCCGTTTTATAATGATACCCATTATGATACAGATTTTTCATAACGATACATATTTTTTAATAGAAAGCCATAATTTTTCAATCAAGTATGCTGTGCATTTGACGTTTGTCCTAGGTTCCTATGTAATTAGGCATTCCAAACAAAATGGCTGCCCGTTTGAAATGACAGGCCACTGACAGGCACATGACAGGTTATAATATGGTAACACTGTGAGCCTGGTGGTTTGATAGGGTCAATAATATAGACAGTTATAAATATATATTATTATGTTATAAAAAAATGAACTAAATGGTCTGTGTAATGTAATAATTAAATAAAATAAGAAGGCAAGATCCACGTCAAATTTGTCCACATAATTCTTTGGAAAAAAACCACATACAAATAAATGAAACTACTCCAGTAGATTCCAGACATAAAGTATGCCGTAAAAAGAAATGTTTAACGCAATTTATTATTGGTAATTAATAAAAAATTTGTACTTACCCAATCTCATATTGTTGCCATGCAACGTTCGACAAAGTCCATAAGATAGACATTAAGTTTGCTGGTCCCAAAACACTTTGGTGCTGTCCTGGTTCTGATTTAGGATAGCAGTCTAGTTCATCTCCTTGTGGAAAACGAAGAATCACCTTATATAACAGACATTGATAATCCAACAATGTATAAGGTATTTGTTTATGTAAAGATTTGTTTTTTGTAATATTTCTCATAAAATATTGATAACATATTTTTACCATTGTTCATTTATATTTTCACTGAGTCCAACCTTTAATAATATAAATTCAGACTTGTCAATAATTTTAAAGGCAGTTATACAAGTGATATAAGTTATCAATATTTTGAATTTTTCTAGGTTATAATTTATTTAATTTAATCATAGTGCGAATGAGGATGCATGAAAGGTAGTAGTTAGAACATATTAATAGAAGTTTCAATTTGAGATATTTTAAAATATACTTACAGAAATTTGTTTAAAGTAAAACAATTAAATAGTTTTGTAGACACATCAGTTGTATGAATTCTGGAGTACTTTTATTTTCAATGACAGCTGATCTATAGAGCACGCATCACAAATAATCTGCATGTTACGAGGGGCAAAGAATATTTTAGAACCGCGAATAAATCGAAACCTGAGATTTTAATATAAAAAAGGTGATAGAACAAAAGAGTCTCAACCTCAGTTTAAAAGTAAACCTAATAAAAGGTATTATGGTATTTATTGATCTTTTTGAACATCAGAGTACATTATAAAGAAAAGATAAGTAAATACATTATAATATTGTTATTACAAATTAAATTTTAAAACAATTTTATAAATATTAAATAAAACATAACAATATAGATCATCCATGGTTTTAAAAGTAAACATAAGGTTATGCCTTGAAGTAAAAATGTAGGCAATTATTTATTTTTTAAATATTCAAAGACTGAAGATTGGTTTTAAAACACATTTTTGCTAAAACGATTCAAATTAATGAACACTTGCCAAGCAATATGGCCGCTCTCAAACGACCCGCCTTAAGCAATCTATATAACTATATAAGTATCATTGACACTGTTAATGACAACATACCATTAGGGTTGCCATATCTAAACTATCAGATCCACTGGTAGCCATTTGGACAGGTCGTTGGAATGTCTAATTGTTTTAGTTGTCAAAATCAGTACGTATTAAATTTTCGTAGATAGCTAAACTTCGATAAGTAATTATATTATCAAAATGTGTGATGTCAGCGATATAGAAGACTTTACCATCGACTCCTACACACATATCGGAGAAAGCAGAAAATGCAATACAAAATATTTTGCCCCAAAAATCTATGGTAATACCAATACCCGAGCTAATACCATTAATTACAATTTTGTAGAATTTTTTATAGAAATACGAGTAATTACTGTTGTGTTCAATACAAATATAAATATAATATTTATAGTTTTTGATTATTTACAGGGTGTAGAAAAAATGGTTATTACATGATCGTTGCATAATATACTATTATTTATAAACTACTGTGTGAAGAGTATAAAAATAATATAATCAAGTATAAAACAATAGACTAAAAAAATAGGTAGATTAAAAAAATTATAAAGTCAAAGTTTTGACGATTATTTAATAGGTAATCAGTGCCTCTGAGGTAAACTGCAGTCATTCGTCAACTTTTTAGTAGAGCAGACTGAATGTTGTTTGGACACTTTTGTGTATATTTACATGTATCAAAAATTATTGTCACAATATGTATTGTTTACTAATAATCTAACTATTCAAACTTTTTTTTAATATACATAACTTGTTAGTTTTGTTAACATATTTCTATGTTCTGATAACAATTTTTCTATGATATAGGGTCATATATCTCTATAAATAGTATGACATAGTTCAGTTTACATCCCAGATTGGCTCCTCCTTCTATCATTTCTTTAGATAGGTGCTTTTCTTTGTTGATAATTCTTATTACTAATAGCTTTAATATGTCGCCATGTGTCAGTTAAGGTTGGCGTTCGCCCATAGAAATCTGCCATATATGCGCGGTTGACTTTAAACCAAGCTTTCGAGAAAAATATGCTTCCTGGCATTAATTTTAATATTGAAAACCGTTCATGAAGTGTGCCTAGGGGCAGTAAAGACTTCTTAAGAAACAAAGTTGTTCTAAAGTACTCGAAAAATTACTTTGACTTTTCGAATCTAAATCCACGGTGGGCTTGAACATGATTTAAATGCGAAGTTCTAGCACATTAGCAATTAGTTCTAACAATGACTCGACTTTTCTTGTACAACTTATATTTATTACGGGGATCTTATTTTTAATTTCAGTTTCTAGAGTTATCTTAAATGTATTCCAATCAGTGCGGGCATAATTCCATTTGGTAGATGGATTAATGTAAAAAGTTGGGGGTCTAGTTTGTAACTTAATAATTACCGGAAAATGATCCCAGGGTATCAGATAAGACTGACCAGTCTAATTTGTCCACTAATAAATGTGAAGCGAGGGAAAGGGCGACTGCAGATTTCCATTTGGGATGATCCCAGTAGGAGTACCATCATTGAGGGTTACTAAATCTAAATGCTCTATAGCTTCAACTAAAATTTTCACATTGGAATCGGACCCCACATAATATCATGATGACATTTGAAATCACCACAAAAAAGTGTGGACAAATTAAACTGTTCAAATAAATTTATACAATCAGCAGGATTAACTATCAGATTTGGAGGTCTATAAATTGACACAATTGATACATCTATTGAAGGGAGGCGAATTACACAAGCTTCAATATTACTACTAAAATTCAAAGATAATTTCAATAGCTTGCATTTTTGTATAAAGTTAAAGTCTTTTAAGTAGAATTTATAGGATTCAGCCAGAGTTCAGATATTACTATAATGTCGACATGAAAACTATTAATAAAATTAATAAGACTATTTATTTTATAAAAGAATTCATCATTTTCAGAAATGTCTATTAATGAGTTAGGTTTCTGTTGTTCTAGATATTCTGATCCATCTAAAATTTTACTGACAGTGGGCTTGAAATTTTCATTTAGTATTTTTGTCTTAAACTTTAGTTTTATCCGCCTAACATCAACTACCTTAATATTTGATTCGATAGAATTTTTTAAATAATCTGTATTACACCTTTTTCTGTGTATAGAATTGTGGAATGTAAGCTACTAATTTATTATTGAGGACAACTTCATGATTTACTAGAGAATTTGCTACATTGTATGTTTTAAAAATAAACTTTACTTCTTTAATCCTATAAGTTTCATGTCTGTGATGTTTTGTTGAAATTCAGGCATTTCCCTCAAAAAGTGGCCTATTCTAATCGGAAAAAGCCTCCCGATATTTTTTCTTGGTGTTCTAAATAAACAAAACATTTTTTTGATTAAGATTATTTAAATCAAATGTTTTCTGAATGTCTGCTTTTATCAGGATGAGTCTAATATTATTAAAATTAAAAATAAAATACTTAAGTTTTTAGTTTGATAACGACAGGGTTCGTATACGATGTCCGTCTCCTATGAAGTTATGAACACAACTGTTTATGAATTTTATTTTAAATATTTTTTACCGTACCCCATAACATAGTGCCCTTGATTAATGACAACTTTTTTGTTACAGATTTGTCTTCATTATGTTGCAGTACTCAACAGAACAACTAGTTACAACAATAGCACTTCCAACAATAACAATTCTACTGATTTGGACAGTCGTTATATTCCACAAAAACAGCAAAAAATGGGGCCCGTATGACATACCTATAGTTTGCATACTAGTATTATCAATATTCAGAAATATAAGCATTCTAAGTTACCTCTTAATAAATACTCTTTCAGATCCAATTAGTTTTTCACTAGAATATTGCAGTGTAGTAGTCTGGATTTTTAATTCAGTTCACACCTTTCAAGCTAGTTCTTTAACCACCATAGCTATAATAGGATTATTTTCTGTCAAATTGTACAGAAAAAATCAAAACTTGAAGCTGTTTCTCACCCCTACACATATAATTTATCACTTGTTCTGCCTGACAACATTATGCGCATGCGTGGGTATTGCCGCGGTCCTTGCTCAAAACGTTCCAAGAGATCCATTATTCAAACTCATCCCTCAAACTTCATTCGAATGCAAATTCATGCCCTTTAATTTAGATATTAAATTCAACATTTTCATTTTAGTTTTACATATGTTTCTATCTGTGATATCGTTTAGCAGCTTTATTATAATTTGTTACAATTTCTGTCATTCTAAAGACTCCAACTTCAAGTATATAAAAAAGTCGAACTCCGATATTAGCGACTTCAGTTTGGAGAACACTCTAAACAAGGAAAATAAGGATTATTACGATTCCTATACTATACAAAGAGGTCAAAATGACAGCAATAATTTCTATCAGAGCGATTATTGCGGCAACAGGGATATGAATTGGAATTCAGATTTGTCCACGACTGTCAGTTCTGTCAATTCGAAGCGGCCTTGCCTCGAAAGGAGCCTTCATGAAGGACACGATCCGGAGGAGAATAGGACGGGTTTGGAGACCATTCATCCTGTGTTGATTGTCTGTTATTTGTTCTACCACTTACCCATAATCGTAAGTACTAATTTTTATTATAGAATACTATCTGCGATTCCAGCTAAACAATATAGCCCAAATTTTCGCCGTCATCTGATAACGAAATGAAATATTATGCCCGAAGGCATGTAAAAATATTGTACTTTACCAAATGGCACCTGTACCAATCACTATCTTGATTCCAGAAAATAACATATTTATTTATTTTTTTACAAACTGTTTTACAGGTAAATCCTTAGAGCATATAAGACTAGAGGTATCATTCAATGTATTTTGTTATGTATAAGCGGGGTCATCACTTTAGATGTGAGGGGAGAGGGGTAGGTACTCCATTCTCAATGGCGTACGGTTTGAAAGGGTTCTTATTTATGTTTAAAATTTATGCAGTGTAATGTCACAATAACTAATAATTTAAATAACTGATTCGCATCATTAAGGGCCCATTTTTTCACCTCTGAGTAAAGTTACACGTATGTTTACTTGACAGATTAGCGAAAAGTAGCCTATCGTTTAAACAGCATGTAGTTATTCAACTTTACTCAAAGGTAAAAAGACTGGCACTAAGAGAAACAAATTTATTTAAACATATTAAGAGTTCTTTTTTATTTATATTAAGCTTTCGTTATACACTGTATTATATAATGTTTTACTGGAAATGACTATATGTTCGTTTAGGATTGAAAACTTTTTTTTTATTGTAGATATAGGTTTTGAAACTATATGCTTTCAAATGGATTCGTGACCATACATTATTTTCCTTTAGTAGATCATTTAAAAAATGCAATCTTTTTTATAGGGCATATAAAAGACAAGTAAAGGCAAATAAAAACAAAACAATAATTTATTTATAATAGTAATAATAATAAATGTACATATTTTTTAATAAAATTATTAATCAATGTAATCAAAACATAGTTATTGGTTGTTCCTAGATGTTATATCTGTGTGTAGAAGTAAGCTATTTATAAAATAAAACAAAAAAACTAAATTAACATTAATGCTACCAAATTCCCATGAAATTTATTTATTATTTATTTAGTATACCACTCAACAGTTAAAAACCAATTACATATAGAATGGGATGAATATAGAAAAAATAAAAAAAAGATTTAAAAAGTTAATGGCAAATAAATATATACAATACAAAAAGGTATCTAACCCATTTTACAATACACAAAAAGACTAATACATTAAGCATTATATATCGCAAAGGAAACAATTATTTTCTGTCGAACGCAACCAGTTGCGGTGTTGCTCAAATGAAGAACTTTCTGCAAATATGTTTTCTTATTAATTTGCCCATTTCCTATTTTAAGTTACGATTATGGAATATACTATACTTACTTGCAAAATGTCAACCGGGATCCTTTTAAGAATATTTTATTGCAAACTACAAACTCTTGGCATGATTAGCATTTATTTTAAAATAAAAACAAACTTTAAAAGTTTATAAAAGGGGCACCTCGTCCAAATTGTCTTCAGTAGCCCCAAAAACCGATCTTTTTAAAAACCAAAACAAGACGTCTAATGAAATGTCATTTAACACAAATACGCGCGCTATTTAAATTCGCCAATCATAAATCGTCGTGTACCTAACTCGCCAATCATAATGCGTCGTGTACCAAACACCGAAGGGGTTACCCCCTCAGTACATAACAAACCCATTTGAATAACACCTCTATTCTTATATGCTCTAAGGGTAAATCCCAATTAAAGAACAGGCAAAATATGACAAAACAAATATCTCAGAAAAATACAATGTAAAAAATTACAAAAACAGAAGAATAAAGATTTAAGAAAGGAAAAAAAACTATTTAAAACGATAAAATAATCACAAAAGCAAATGTTTTATGTCCAAAATTCTAATGCTAAATATATCCAACTTAGAGTTAATGCTGTTACAATTACTACACATGACATACAATGAAGATTTACTTAAAATGTTGGTGCAAGGAGTGGTCAAGTAAAAAGTATCATTGCACCTAGAAGTTTGGCGGGGAATCCTTACATTTAACAATTTATTTTGTTGGTTATGGCTTTGTGCAGTGTAACCACTGAAAAATACTTGCACCATGCTTTAAGACTCGAAATACTATGTCTTACTAACAGCTCGTTATATGGAATGCCTATTGGAGGATACACTTGGTCTTCTCGGAAACTTAAATATTTGAGAAACCATCTTTAAAGAGCCTCTAACCTAGTAACGTGTACCTGGTAACGTGTACTTGGTAACTGAGACTACATATATAACCGAAGCATATCCAAGCTTTGAGCGGATAAACGCATAATAAAGATACTTGCATTCTTAAAATCCCGACACTTCCGAATTATGAATCTGTACATGTGGCTTGCTGCAGTTAATATATCGTCATGTGGTCATTGAAGGATAGTGCTGTATCAAAAATAACGCCCAAATCCACAAAGTTATTCGGTCTGCATCATAGAGTGTTGCCTATACGGTAATTGTAAGCAATTGGATTAGAGCTTAGTGAATAAGACATGGCATTACACTTCGAGGGATCCAAATTAAGGTTATTTTCCGACACCATTCGACAATTCTCAGAAGATTTTCAGATAGCCATTCACAATCCGCGACGTTCTTAATTGTTATGTAAAATTTAGAGTCGTCGGCGCAATTTAAATAATCAACAAAACGGGACTAGATTTGATCCTTGAGGAACACCGGAGGTGGCAGAATACTGATCAGACTTAAATCCATTTAACTGAACGTATTTTATTCTGTTAGTGAGATATGATATAAGCAGCCGAACAAGATTGTTTGAAAGTCCAAAAGAGGCTAGTTTTTTTACCAAAATACCCTGGTCAAGCTGATGCCTTTGTCATATCCGTATAAATAACATCTGTCTGAGTTCAGTTGTCAATGTTTTCTAAAATATACTGCGTAATTATGGAGAGATTTGTAACTGTTGAACGACCTTTTACAAAGCCATGTCGTTGATCCGATATTATGTTGTGGACGTGTTGATAAACTATACGTTCCAGCATTCCCAACATTTTAAACACTTTACTAAAGTTACAGATGATATAGATAGGGCGATAGTTTTCCACCTCAGTTTTATTTCCTTTTTTACATATGGGACAAACCTTAGACTCTTTCCACGGTATGGTTTTAATCCGGATGCAGGTATTTATAAGTTTTTCATTTTCTGTAGAGGGGAAACCGTTTGGCACCAAACACTGGGTCAATGTGTTTGGTAGTGTCGGGCGCAAGTTTGACAAAAACCGCTCCGTTGCCTTTCCGTTGTATACCAGTGACTGCCTTTCGGCATTGCTTCCAGTAGAATGGGCGCTGTGTCTGTTGTTATGTCAATTTCCTCTCCCTCTGTCTTACATCGGCTTCTTTCTTGCTTAGTACTACCATTGCGAAATGGCTTATATAATTCCAGTTGTTTTGGTTTACTAACATTTTGTTAACTATATTTTCCAAATTTATGTTCCCAATCTTGATTTCTAGCATCGTCCTGTCATTGCTCCATCTTTGGCATTCAAAAATTGTGTGCTCCAATGTGTCTATTTCCCTGCAATAATGACATTCATTGATCAGGTATTTATAAGTAAAGTTAAAGAATGAGCCAGTGCTACAGCACAGTCTTTTAAAAGGAAAGCAGGAATATGGCCAGGCCAAGTAGTCCGCTTGGACTTTACTGATTTTAAAGTATCTAATACTTGGTTTTCTACAAAGCTAGTAATGTTTAAGTGATATTGGAGCATTTTTTATTATTGATGTAGGTAAGCCCATAATTCATTGGAAATAATCAATATTTCTAATTCAGCTTTTTAAAGATATTGTTTATAGGCTCCATCGACATCAACTTTAACTTGACTTCTTATGCGTCTAAACTCCTCAAAAGCATGAATATCATTCTCTCTCTTATACTGTTGCTAGAGTTTGGATTTTTTGCGAATTAAATTTATAATAACGCCATTGTACCATAAAAGCTTTCCAGAAAATTCCAGTCAATTTTGGAAATCATGTCATACAACATCGGAAATTTGCTTGTAGCAATTTATGGAAGATGACTCTAAATTATTTCTATTATTCAGTTTTTGTACTTATTTTAATATAATGTCCAAAGCTGGTTGATGACAATCCTTTATCAACGGATTTACGGATTTTTCAACAAAACAGGAATTATTAAAGTACACTAAGTCTAGTAGCCTATTATTTTCATTAAAAACAAAGTTATTCTGTTTTAAATCAAAAACCTTCGCAAAATTGTTTAATGTATCCAATCGTGCATTCGACTGAGAGTTGGTAAGAAACAAAGCATATTCCGATATATTGAAATCACCTAAAAACTAAATTTTATTTCCATACAAAAAATCCAAAGACTAATATTTCTTGAGGAAAACACTTTCTTCCACTTAACATCGTCTATCTATGATTAATAGATAAAAAAACACTAAAAATATGAATCAATTTTTGCTGATTTGAAGATTTACTTGTATAATTATTGTTATGATTCATTTTTACATATTGTCATAGACGCGACAAAAAACTACTATGATTATTGTTTAAAAGAATTGTCTAATAAGAGTTTCTAATTATTATTGACTATCTGTGGCAAACGTTTTATCCGATGTCATCCGTTTTCCTTTCAGTCATACATGGTTTAAAAGGTAGGTAGATATAATAGGTTCACAATGAATTGGGAGTGTAATTTTGAGGACAAAGAAATATTGTTTTAACCCTTTGTGAAAGGTAGTGATTGACACAGGTGTCGTTTAGTAATGTATAATGTTCTAACACGCCTTTTGAGCATAGTTCATTTATTTATCAAATCATGGCCGAAATTTGCAGTGGGCTTTTGTAAAATTTGTAAAATATATTTCTAAGTAGCACAATAGGAGTATAAGGTGAACTAACTCCCATTTTAAAACAAATGAAACGTGGCCAAAGTTGATCAGTGCTGCAAGTAAAAATCTGCCAGATTCGCTGGTGAATTTACGGCAACAATGACGGGAATTTTACCTGATTTTCGGAAAATTTTGGAAAT